TAGGCCCGAACAACGTTGCGTCACAAATTATTTAAGGGGAAAGGCTCGGAAGGCACACTCGCTTCGTTGCGGAAAATTAACGAGGGCTATGTCGTCCGGTAATATCCATAATCGCAATTTAACTAATTACGAGAGAGACAGGTTAACAGAATAAACTCATCAGTTCAGCTATTTTACACTTTATTACAACAATAACGTACATACAGCGTTCGACGTGTGCGTCGGCAAAGTCCGGGCTAAGTTCGTTCCGTGCGAATTAACGCACAGGAGACAGAACATCACCTTACAACTTGTCCCGCGAATTCCGCGAGGGCGATGCGAGTTCACGCATGCAACCGCTCGTCCGCGTCCGGCCTATACAATGCTCGGAGAGAGAGAAATCGAGGCACGCACCGAGAAACAAAAAGGGTACCTGACCTTGGGAGGGAGCGCTGCTGCAGAAGTCCGCGTCTTCTGGGCCAACGATGTCGTCCTCGAAAGGCGGGTCTCTGGATGGATGCAGATGGTCCTGTCCTCCTTTTCTATTCCGTTCACTCAATATGCTTATCGCACACACTTCTCGGTCGCGAGGCTCAACTCTCCAAATTAATTGCTGGTCGAAGCCGCACTGACTGCGATCTCGCGCCTTCCGCGACGTCTTACTCGCCCCCTCCCTATAGGTACTCAAAAACGGCCGAGCGCCGCCGGCTACGCACACATGTGCGACTCATGCCGGCGACACTACTTCTCTCTCTCCTCCTCTGCTCTCCGCCCCTGCCCTATCCCTCCAACGCCAGGCATCTCCGCCGATCAGGAATCAAACCTGCAACAAAGCCATATCGTGCGTCGATACTCGGTTTTATTCAACCAAGACCGATGTGGCAGCGGCTCAGGGGAAGGCACGCGGAAGAGAGAGAGAGGCGAACAGGGCGATCGAACTCAACGATCGATTCGCCCGTCACATTATCATAATAATAATCATTATTATTATTATTATCACTATTATTATTATCCTTTTAGTGAAGAGGTAAAAGTAGTAATTATGCGATATTACTACCAAATTTCGATTCCATATTAAGGTATCATGACTGATAAAGATATTACCTCAAAGACGGCAGTGTTGGTTCGGACTCCCGCTATTTATCTCATAAAAGTGTATAGTAGGTAAAGAATTCAAGTAAATAGGAAGAGAGAGGGGCGATTTGAAAAAGGCTTAGTAGTTGAGTTAGATCCTAAAATAAAAGTCGAAAAGCGAAGACTTGAGTCAGTCTATTAGAAGAATTGGTAACAAACAGTAGTAGTAGTAACATATTAATATCCTTGTCCCCATTCTCAATCATATTGCGAAACTTACGAAAGGCGTTTTTTTAATTTTGTTTATTTAACATAATGTTTTTGCACTTGGATAAAAAACGTAAAATATTATTTATTATTAATTATGTAAAATTTCTACATAAAATTCTACCGTTAACTAATTAACACGGAGTATTTTATGTAAAATATTTCTTTAGGAATAAATAAATATTTCAGTCAATTATGTTTAAAATTCTGTTTCGAAAATGACCAAATGTATTATATTGTAAGATATCACGGTGGGTCTGAGCGACATTTAAATAAAAGTGAAAGCAGGTTCCAATTTTTTTGCATATTTCGGTAAAAATACTAATAATTAGAAGATCCCAGAAAGAATTAAAAAAAATCCCTGAGCCCTTTATGAAAAAATCAATTTTTAAAATTTTTTATCAAAAAAAAAATAAAAAAATAATTTTGGTTGTGGTTGATGGTATTAATAAATAAATCAGTATTTTTTCGATATTTACACAAATGCACATTTAATAAAAAAAAAACGTTAACACGAGTCATACTTATATATTATAAAAAATTAACAACATAACATTACATAACACAAGAAAATAATCAATCGCCTGAGGCTACAAGACTATGGAAAATCATAAAAAATAACTTTTCTATTCACCAACAAATAAAAATTATAAATGTTTGCTGTTATATTCTTGCACAGCTTTGAGCAAATTATTTGCATAATTAATATGGGTCTTTTTAAGCTTGTATTTATTCCAAATTTGCTTGAAATCTGAATGAACAAACTCCATAGCCTGTTCACTGTAATATCCTAGCCCTTTTTGAGTCTTTTTACAAAAATATTCTACATGGAAAAATACTGCATGCACCTTCGGTGTAATACTAATCCCTAAGTAAGAATAACTTCTTCGAAAATCAGTAAATATATAATTATATATTGCTTTATAATATATAATTATATATTATATAATATATAATTATAATTATTGCTTTATAATATATAATTATAATTATTGCTTTATAATATATAATTATAATTATATATTGCTGATTTTCGAAGAAGTTATTCTGACTTAGGGATTAGTATTACACCGAAGGTGCATGCAGTATTTTTCCATGTAGAATATTTTTGTAAAAAGACTCAAAAAGGGCTAGATATTACAGTGAACAGGCTATGGAGTCTGTTCATTCAGATTTCAAGCAAATTTGGAATAAATACAAGCTTAAAAAGACCCATATTAATTATGCAAATAATTTGCTCAAAGCTGTGCAAGAATATAACAGCAAACATTTATAATTTTTATTTGTTGGTGAATAGAAAAGTTATTTTTTATGATTTTCCATAGTCTTGTAGCCTCAGGCGATTGATTATTTTCTTGTGTTATGTAATGTTATGTTGTTAATTTTTTATAATATATAAGTATGACTCGTGTTAACGTTTTTTTTTTATTAAATGTGCATTTGTGTAAATATCGAAAAAATACTGATTTATTTATTAATACCATCAACCACAACCAAAATTATTTTTTTATTTTTTTTTTGATAAAAAATTTTAAAAATCGATTTTTTCATAAAGGGCTCAGGGATTTTTTTTAATTCTTTCTGGGATCTTCTAATTATTAGTATTTTTACCGAAATATGCAAAAAAATTGGAACCTGCTTTCACTTTTATTTAAATGTCGCTCAGACCCACCGTGATATGATATGATAATATTTTTTATTTGAATTAATCATTTCATTTTTTTTATGCAGAAAGATATAATATGAGATAATATTTCACTTTTTAACAAAATAGTGTTTTATTTTTCGAGTACAATACAAAAGTATTACGTTAAATTAACAAAATTAAAATACAGAATTAAATCTTGTATGATAGGTATCTATAAAACCTCACCCTTTGAAAGCATCTAAAAGTAAGTTAGAACACCTGTGTTAATTTTACATACATTTGATTACTTTCAAAGATTTGAAATAATTTTGTAAACTTGATTAAGTTTATAATAAAAAATTATTTATAATTAAGAAAATTTTTTTTGTAAAATCTAATGTGTATTTACCCAGCACATATATTACAAAGTGTAACAAGGTGGATTAACTAGTACAATAGGGATTTATTTAAGAACAAACTCCCTCGATGCAGAGCTAACTGCGGCTCCGTTAAACACGAATGGATATACGTGTATTCGCCTTCAGTGTCTTCTTTCTAACAGAGTTGAACTCACCTGAAGTCACCTGACTTGTGAAACTTGATCTATCTTAGGTGTGAGTGATCTAATGCTTAATCCGACTAATCCCCTAGATGAAATCGATTTAAAATTTAATCCGTACTAGATCTGTTAAACTATTTGGAAACGAAATGACGTAATGCGGCAAATAAAATTAATATGTTCAATTCTAGAAATTACAGTTTTTTACGGGCCGAAAGACTAACGCACGCGAATAGGATTTACAATGATTAATAATAATACGGTGACAGAGAGAGAGAATTCGAAACTTTGCCGCGAAAACTAACGCTCGGCGCGAATACAAAAAATAACGATCGCCATAGACGAAATACTCTCGCTAGTATTTTGTCGCGCAATATAAGGGAGGTGCACCTACTCTGCGGTGCAATTACGGTGATCAGCCGTAATTGTTGTAGCAAATTAAAGGTGCCCCTCATCTCAGCTGCGCTGTCTCGCTCGTGAACAATTGTTGCTCGCTCCATCAAATGCTGCTTTAGTTGCTGCTGCTTTAGTTGCTGCTGCTTTTATGTTTTCTTGCTAACACTCGTGCACTTCCAAAATCCCGGAATCTTGGTTTGCAAAAAACGGCGAAACACAGTGAAACAATTTGGCGGTACTGTACAAGTAACAGCTGAGGCTTAATTGAAAATTTTTAAGCTCTCGCGCTCTCTCTCTCTTTCTCTCTTTTAGTCGTTTGTTCAAGCATCGCGAGTGTACCAAATCGTGAACGGATCGATTAATCGAATCGACTACCGTTGCAGAAGTTATTATGTACAGTATCGCGTAAAACTTACGTCATTCATTGGACGTTGCTGAGAACTTTTTTGAAAAGCATAAGGATAGGAGATAAAAAATGAACGGTATTTCTTATAGACATTTTATTATCCTTCTCTTTATATTTCTAGAAATCTCAATATGAATTTGCTTCATTTCAAATTATTCCGATACACAGAAAGCCACGCTCCTGGCTTTCGCGACCATATAACTTTTTGCTGATTCATTTTCTTGTGCATCTCGCTCAAACTGCAATATGGAAATGAGATAACAGTTCCGAAAATTGCGCTGGGCAAAAGCTTTTCATAAATTATCATGTAATTAATATATGTAAATCTATACAGATTTACTGTCATATGTTATTTAGCTAGTTTCATATATTATATGAGCTCGATACTAATAGATTAACTATGGACTCATAAAATACACTTTTTTTAACAATATCCGAAAAGTGTATGCCAGTATCTTCACAGATCAATTAATATTTGCCTAACCAGTATTTTTCAAGTTGTATATATAATCCATTTTGGACATCCCATAAATTTTATGAAATATTGTATTGCATATGAATAAACTTTGGATTAATAAATTGAAATTTTGAGAAATATCCTTCATTATTGATAACCAAAATTACAATCCCAACATTTTAAGCTTATATTTCTGTTTCTATGACAGAACTTAAGATTTCTAACATTTTTGCAGTGGTATATTCGCATGCTTATCATCAATAGTGTGACCAGTTTCAAAGATTTAACTGAATTAAGGAAAATGACGAAGTGTGTTATAAAGTACGAAATAATATCAAGATTAAAATAGAACACAAAACACTTACATCAATAGCTCGATGATATCATGCTGAACTTTTGTGAAAATTAAACTGTTTCAACATATTATGAAGACATATTGTGTTATGTTAAATAAATATTAAAATAATGTACGTATATTGATTGAATATATTATTTACATAGAATAATTGAATAAGTATACCGAATAAGCTTACATCTTAACAAAATTGCAATTCGATCGTTATGTTATTTTTTTTGAAGCTCTCATCTGGTAATTGATAAATATAGACATATATTATGATTATACGTGAGTAATTTATTCTAAACCATTTTTGCTTTGAAAAACTTGAGGTAAAGCTCTCAAAATTTAAGTCGGTCACGTTCTGCTATTATTTCGCTTATTAAGCGACTTTTCCACATTATAGTGAGTTAACTGCAAAGAAAAGTTTTGCAGTGATTTACGCAGGTACCTATAGGTATATACATAAACACAAGTATGTAAAAGAAAAAATGAATTCAAAACCAAACAAATACCTCACATTAAAATTTAACACTGTACAATAATTTAATTTATGCCAATTTTACTAGCTTTGTGGTGTGTTCTATATTCAATTACAGTAAGTTATTTCTAATGTCTTTTATCCAGCTTTCAATGATTGGTTTTTTCTTTTTATTGTAATGGAGAAATACGGCTGAGAAACGGAAGGGTTCGTATCCGTGACCGTTCATACAAATGATTTGAATAGGGATGGACTTAGGAGATGCAAACGCTTCGTCGACTAAATAATATACCGGGTGTGTAAATTAATCGTGCACAAAACCAATTTTGGTATGAGGATCGGTGATAAGCGAATTACGATGATACTGAGTTAAATAACACTTACGTTTATTCAAAAAAGACCAAAAAAAGAATAGAAAGCGCAAAAAATTTCAGAAGAATCAAAACTAAAAAAAATGATAGACCGCATACCAGCCTAATTTTCATGCCATCAGAGAAAATTCTATCCAATGTTGAGAACACTTCATAGGCTAGAAGCATTCATTTTATTTCCTAGACAACCATTAAAATATTCTTATACGAGCTACAATTATATCAGGTCGAAATACTTAGAAACTGATAACTCCAGGTAACTGCTCTAGGATAATGCTCCTCGATCGCTGCGTGACCAAGAATATATGAATTTCTATTGTAACTTTATAATTTCATCAGTAAATTTGAGAAATTTAGTCTTAGAAAATAAATATCTTTATCTAGAAGCGCCATGTGCGATTTTACTAAGATATGTTTTATGTACTAAAGCTCATAAAAGTGAACCGCTTATAAGTTAAACTATTAAGTAATCACCAAGGAGAGGAAATTTATAAGGGTAACTACTGAATAAACAAAACATATCTCAATTCCAGGGCTGAGAATTTATTCCACTTATATACACAGTCCTCAAGTTGCAAGATAAGGCTCGAATTAGAGTCCTAGACTGCCACAATAGCGAGCGAATTTATAGCCGTGTTCAAGGTCCTTTTCCACGCTGGATTTCCTCTTCAGTCCTATTTTCCCAATTTTGCACAAATTTTCAATAACTTCTTACGCGAAACCATGTACGCGCAGTGAAAAGATTGTATTAAAAAAAATCAAATCCTCCTCATCACCCATAACACAGTCCAACAAATTAAAGTCGACCTTTTGACCTAGAAACTAAAGTATAAAATTTCCGAACGTTTTCGACGCGCTAAATCAAAATCCGAGGTTTTGTTCTCTTAATTAGCTCTGGTTTCCGTGATATCCTAACATAAAAGGGCGAAAATAGCGTGTTTTATCTATTTTTTAGGTTTGTAGCACCGAATTTTATTTTTTGCTGAAAGAAACTTGTATCGGGGTAGCTATCCGTTTATTTAATTATGCGCGCGATCGCATCGAAGAGCGCGCGGGATTATCTACAGGTTCAAATTTAAAAATCGGAGAGCAGGAGGGAACGGGTGTCAGTCAACCAACTTTATACTAACACAAAATAATAATATCAGAATTACGGTTAATATCACATGCGAGATTGTTTATTTCCTCTAAAGTCTACAATGTATTCGGCCCGCGTGTTTATGTTTACAAAACGCGCGCGCGACAATAACATCCAGTGTCGGATCGCTCGCCGCTCTTTGTTCGCCGAGTTATTACATGCACGCTTTTTGTCGAGTACGAGAAATTAGTTATTATCAATTCTACTACAATCGCGAAATTAAGCTGGCCAGCTTACCTTATTAGCAGTCGCACGGAGAACGAGGGAAAAACTTCGCACTCTAGTTGCGGGAAAGTCTGTCTTTATGACCGAGCGGTTCTCGCTTTCGATTTCGCCCTCGATGGCGAAACCTCATACTCACACACACTCACACGCACTCGGCTCCGTCAGGCGAAGGCACAGCTTCTATGTCTCCTAATTAGCTCGTCTCGACACTCAGGAAAACTCGGGAAAAACTCTCTTTGTCACTAGCTGCAGCGGCGTGCTCAGGTTCTGAGTTTTAACTAACTGGCTGGAGATATCGACAGCTAATCCTCGACTAGTTCATTTTCATACGCGCGCGTTCCGTCTCGTCGCGTGCCGAATTCCCTCGTCACATCTTTCCCCAACCGATAGATGCTGCCCCTGCAGGCAGCCGCATGGTTGGGCTGTCAGCGCTAATAAGACGTTTACCGTCACAAACTATAAACAAATTTGCTCTTTTAAATGCTGCTAAGTTTGCTCAAATATTTTTTTTATGCCAAAAAATCGCATTTTGAAATTTTATACTATAACTGGTATATATCAACCTATTAAGGATCACGCGGGCATCATATAGTCGGTTGATTTTCGGTTTCAAAAATAATTTCATTATTTGAAAATCAATAACTTGTGGATATTTTACTTTCTCAAAAAGACCTGCTCTTTCGGAATCCAGATTTAAATTTTCAAAATTTTTCGAAGAAAATTCAATGTAGCCGTCTAAAGTTGACTTAATTTGAATCGTTAACTTTGGAATTTTTACAAATTATTTCTTCGGTAAGTTGCAACAATACAATGATTTTCAATGTTTTTGAGGTCGTCGAGTTTAACTATGGTATTATTTTTTTATTTTCTTCGAAACATTACAAAATATTTCAAGAAAAATAACAAGGTAACCTCGAAAAATAGGTATTTTCCAAAAAATGTACATGAGTATTGTTTTTGGATATGATGCAAGTTACGTGATTTAAATTTTAGTTTGGGAATTGTGAGTTTGGAATTGGTGAGTTTAGATTTGGAATTAGTGGGTTTCAAGTTTGGTTTGAGGTAGATATATCTATGATAGCCAAACCTCTTAAATTCCAGACTTCTAATCCCGTAATCCCAAATCCTAAATCCTCAAACCAACAACATCTAAACTAAAATTCGAACTACGGGACTTAAAAATTATCGAAAAAGAAGTCTCAATTTACTCGTACATTTTTTGTAAAAATTTTATTTTCCGAAGTGGCCTTGTTATATACGATATTCTTTTGACGAAAATGAAAAATTAACATTAAAAGAAATTCAGCAATGTCAAAAATATCGAAAATTAATATATTGTTGTAATGCTACAAAAAAAAATTTTTAATAAATCTATAGTTGATAATTCAAATTTTGTTGTTTTTGGGCGGTTATATTGAATTTTCTTTGGGAATTTTAAAACTTAACAGCGTATTCCAAAAGAGCAGATATTTTTGCAAAATAAAATAGTTATAAGTTATTGAGTTTCGAATAGATTCATTATTTTTTAAGTTGTAAATTTATCGACTGTATGATGCCCGCATAGTCCTTAATAGAATGATATACGAGGTGTGTTCAAAAAATAACGAGAATTTTCGTTTTATGAAAAAAATATTTATTTATTCATCTACATTAATGTTGTCGCCTTCAAAGTAGTCCCCTTCGGATACAATACACTTATGCCAACGCTTTTTCCAATCCTCGAAACACTTTTGAAACTCGATCTTTGTAATAGCTTTTAGCTCTTTCAGCGATTCGCTTTTAATGTCATCTATGCTTGTAAAACGACGGCCTTTTAATGTTCTCTTTATTTTTGGAAATAGAAAAAAGTCACATGGAGCCATATCTGGCGAATATGGAGGCTGAGGCATCGTTACAGTTTCGTTTTTGGCTAAAAATTCACGAACAAGCAATGAAGTGTGAGCAGGCGCATTATCGTGGTGCAAAAGCCATGAATTGTTTTGCCACAAATCCGGGCGTTTTTTTCGGATTGCTTCACGCAAACGACGTTGAACTTGTAGGTAGTACTGCTTATTGATTGTTTGACCTTGTGACAAGAATTCATAATGCACTATGCCATTAAAATCGAAGAACACAGTGAGCATAACCTTCACATTCGACCGTACTTGTCGAGCCTTTTTCGGTCTTGGCGATCCAGAATGCCTCCACTGGGACGATTGAGCCTTAGTTTCGACATCATATCCGTAAACCCATGTTTCGTCACCTGTTATAACACGTTTTAGTAGTTCTGCATCGTTATTGACTTCATTTAGCGACTCCTGAGCAACTTCCATTCGCCGCTGTTTTTGTTCGAAATTCAACAATTTTGGAACGAATTTTGCTGCCACACGTTTCATACCCAAAACATTCGAAAAAATTTGATGGCATGAGCCAACTGATATGCCAACATCATCAGCGACTTCTCTGATTGTGATTCGGCGATCGTTCATAACCATTTCTTTCACTTTTTTCACGTTTTCATCGGTTGTTGATGTGCTTGGGCGTCCGGGTCGTTCGTCATCTTCAACGTTTTCGTGGCCATCTTGGAAACGCTTATACCACTCATAAATCCTTGCTTTACTCATAGCAGACTCACTATATGCCTTTGTTAACATTTGACAAACTTTACTACACTTTATTTCATTTTTTACGCAAAATTTAATACAAATTCTTTGATCCATTTTTTTTCACAAACGAAAATCGCCGAGCTCGAAAAACACGTCTAACGTTAGCGGCTACCACTTAAAAAGTAAGCAATGAATATTGCTGAAAATTTTATCGTACTTCAGGGGCATGTGTACCAACATAATAAAAAAAAATTTTATACAAGCGGACTCTCCAAACCCGCGAAATTAAAAAATTCTCGTTACTTTTTGAAC